TTTTTTTTTATATACTAAGCTCGACAGATGACTCCGTCCCACCTGATGTTAAATGAAACGGAGTCCAGACGCAAGGACAACTGGTGCAGCGTGAAAACAACGCATCATCAGTCGCCCTCACCCTGCCGGCCTACAAGGTGCTTCTTCACGCCTCGCTTGAAGGACCCCATGTCATAGGAAGGAGGAAATACGTGTGCTGGTAGATTGTTCCATCTTTTGGAAGTGCGACAAAGAAACGAGTCACCAAATTTCTTTGTGCGCGATGGAATGCTAGAGACAGTATAGCGGTGACTCCGGAGAGCAGCACGCGTGCTCCTATGGAGGAAGGGAGAAGGTGGGATAAGGTCAAAGAGTTCTTCAGAGCACTCGCCGTGGTATAAACGGTAGAAAGCGCTGAGTGACGCAATATCTCTACGCAATTGCAGAGGTTCGAGAGTATTAGTGACCTCTGCATTGCCGATAATGCGTATAGCGCGCCGCTGCAATCTGTCCAAGGCATCGAGAAGGTACTTAGCGGAACCGTCCCAGAGGTGCGAACAATACTCCACGCACGATCGCACTTGTGTCTTATACAAGAGACACAACTGATCCGGCGCGAAGAAGCGTCGCACTCTGTTCAGGACACCGAGTTTACGTGAAGCTGTTTTTATCACGGCTTCAATGTAGTCCCTCTGGTTCAGATCGCAGCGAATCTCCGTACCAAGCATGCTAATGCTGCTCTGTAGGCTAAGTGGTGTGCCCTGAAGAGAAGGAAGGGGAAGGAATGGTGTCTTTTTTGCCGTGAACGCGCACACCTGTGTTTTCTTGGCATTGAACTCAACAAGATTATTGGAGCCCCATTGAGATATGAGGTCCAACACCCGATTGAGCTCAATGACAAGATTCACTCGCTTCTCTTCAGTCTCGACCCGCCCAGCCGCAGGGTGACCATTATACCCCCCGTGCACTGTACTATCATCTGCATAGCAATGAATATTTCCAAGTGGAAGCATATCATTGATATGCAGAAGGAACAGCGTGGGGGATAGAACGGACCCCTGAGGGACACCAGCGTTCACTGACATGAATTCCGAAGCGCATCCGTCTGACAGCACTCGGATTCTGCGCTCATGCAGGAAGCCAGCGACCCAGTTGCAGAACTGGGCAGGCAGGCCGTATGACGGGAGTTTGGAGAGAAGAGCTTTGTGCCAGACCCGATCAAAAGCCTTGGCTATGTCAAGGCTAACAGCCATCGACTCGCCACGCTTATCAATAGCCACACCCCAGAGATGTGTAATAAACGCTAAAAGATCACCCGTTGACCGTTTCGGCCGAAACCCGTATTGACGATCGTGAATTAAGGAGTGTTCTTCTAGGTAGTGGATTAGCTGTTTATTTAAAATCCGTTCCATCACTTTACACAAAACTGAAGTTACGGCTATTGGGCGGTAATTATTCGGATCTGATCGATCTCCTTTTTTGGGGACCGGTTGCACATTAGCCTTTCTCCAAGATTCCGGCACACA